GGGGGGGGGGGGGGGGAAGAAAGAGAGAGAAACATCACCAAAGAAAGCGAACGACGGCGGGCTGTCGTTGATGACGATCACGACTCTCCCGGACCACCCTCTACCCCAACACCACACGCACAGTACAGCATACTCTCACCGGCATCTCACCCCTCCCCCCCCTGCTTGGATGGATCAACTCACATCATGTGCGATGTTACCCATACCGATCGTCTTAACCGCCGGCGCTTTGACCTGGTGAGGGCGGGCGGCGAGAACAAAAACGCCGACATGTATCAGCACTAAATAGACATCAAAACATGCGCAATCGTCCCCAACAACTCGGCATGTCCAACCCATAAGACCGGTATCGCCACCGACGACCACCGGGGCGACCAGAGCCTCCGCCGCTGTACGTACGCATCCAGCCAATCAGCGTTGTTTGCCGTTGTCGATTGACTCGCTCACTCCATCAGAGTCACGCTACTACATGCCCGTCCCCTTGATAGGTATCTACACAAGAACAAAGGACAGAACCCAGCCACCATGACGCCCCCAGGATCATCTCGCCATGAGAGCATCGCATCCACAGGAGCACCAAAAGACTTCCACCTTCAACCACAGCGGGGCGTTTACCGCACGACCGTTTCACCTGGTCGATGCTGTTGTTCTCTAGGAACTCCACGAGGGCCATGCTCAGGTCCTCCGGCTCAACGAATCCCACGACCTTCAGGAGCTGGGCTCCCGTGCGGGGGTCGAGGATAGCAGTGTGCGGTAGCACCTGACCTTCCAGGTTGTACTTGTCGACGTAATACCTATTAGTTTGGTTGTTTTTTCGGACAAAAGTCGTGTAACAGCAGGACGGCACGCACACGTATGAGTACTACTGTCCTAAAACAATGCTACCGTTTCTGAGGGAAAATGTCGGGATCTAGACAACTGTGCTGATAAACATAACCTGAATCGAAAGTGGTCTAGCCCGTGTCAGGCTTCTGCTTCAGCTGCAACCGGTGAGTGGTGGATTTGTAGGCGAGTTTGAAAGGCTTGCCGGGATGCCGGTGAGGACGCATGTACGCCCCTTTTCTTCCACCTTAATACGCGGAAACGCTACCTATCGATGACTGGTAGACCGATCCCAAGACAGAGAGACAGCCACAAACCTGGCCTGTCTGAGAGCCTTGTTCCGCTGCCAGAAGATGAAGTTTCCCCGCAGCAGCGTGAGAATGGTCTCGTTCGACCACACGTCCTTGTTCAAGCGATGGCTCGCAAACTCTTGGTGGTCCTGCACGGTGAAACGTCAGGTCGGGGAACACACGTGCCAAAATCACAACCACACACGACGTTCCTCGAACAACACATGCACACGCAAGTGTACATTGAATGCAGGCCTCGGCTCTGCTGGACAGACAACGCGGTCGAGCTGTTTGACAACGGTCGAAGAAGCAGAGCGACTGCTCTTGGTTCGTCAATGGCGCGTTTGTTATCTGGCTCGTCGGCAATCTGATAGTCGGGACAACCGTATGAGCGGACCAACTTCCGCCGCCCACCGGGCATATGTACAAGACAGACGCCACAAACGTTTTATTGGCAGTGGCGACGATATCGACACATACGCTGCAGGGTGAAGCGACGGTAGGGAGGGGCCAACGTGACCGTGTGGAGGAAGCGTCTCGGGCGGGGGACAACAAAAGGGGCCCGGAAATCGCGCGTGGGGGGGTCTTGGAGACCCTTTTTGGTGTATTGCTGCGCGTTGGCCAAGGCCTTCTGCGCCACATGTGACCGAGTAAGGCATGGATAACAAATAGGAAGGGGGTATGCATAGGGGCTTACAAGGATGGCGAAACGAACCAAAGAAGACGCAACACGTGCCACGGTAAGAGGCACACAAGAATAAAAACACAACAATCAACCGCCGACACTAGCGCGACATGCATGCAATCAGGGAACGACAGCAGCAGGTACTACTACTTCCTCCCTCTGTTGCTGCTCGCTTGGTGGTCCTCTCTCTCAAGAATCGCAGCTTGCCTGAATGTTCACCATGAGCCACTTCTTCTGCTCCTTGCAGATCTGACGCGTCTCCAGGAAGTCAGACGGGAACGACAGGCCCTGTTGTTACGGCAAGGCAACAGCGGCCAACAGCCCAGTTTGGTTCCACCGTTCGCCCGTACGTTGGTTGGAGAGGGTTTCGTTGCACTAGCACGGTTCGACGGGGATTGGGGATGGAACAAGGGACAAGAGAGAACAAATACACCGCGAACAGATCGATACCTCTCATTGACTTCATACCGGCACTGCTTTGGGTCCAGAGATCGAAAAAAGATCGTGCCGGTCGCACGCAGCTCTCTTGCGCAACTCAAGAGACTGCTTCAGACCAATAAATAAATGTATCAAACAACAGAGGCGGCACACACACACGACAGCCTCACTTTTCACGTAGGCCGAGCTTGTGTCACAGAAAGACAAAAGAGTAAAACCGATACTCCCGCGTGGATACAAGACCCAACTCACACCCATCCATCACAAAAACGATCTTGCAACCCTCCGCAAAAAAAAAAAAAAACTTACCTCGGGTGCCTTAAATATCCAGTCCATGTTGTCCCTTTCCTCCACGCTGCTGCGCCCAGCTCCGGCCATCGCCCCACCCAACATCCCCCCAAGCATCATACCGGCGCCCCCGCCTCCCCCGCCACCCCCCGCTACCCCCCCGAGCACACCCCCGCCCCCGATAAGGCGGTCCGTTCGCGCCGGGATGGGGGCACGAACGCCGTCCTCGCTGAAACCCCCGGGGTACAAGTGGTCCTGCTCCCCGGGACTCCCGCCCCCGCCGCCGGCGGCCCCGCCGCCGCCGCCCCCGCCGCCGCCCCCGCCGCCGCCACCCTGTTGCTGCTGCTGCTGCTGCGGCGGCGGCGGCGGCGGCGGCCGCCCAGCCGCCGCTCCCGCGGGGGCCGGTGGGATCACGAGGCCCGGGAGTTCGCCGAGAGCGGTGAAGGGGTTCGCGCCTGCGTCATCGTGGTCGTCAGCACCCTCCTCGTTGTGGTTGTCATCGCTCACGTAGCTCTATACGCAGTAGAGAGGCAGCAGACAGGAGACAAAAGAGGGGACGCGCTCGTGTCTGTTTGGCACGCGTTGGCTTCGACCCTCGCGTCCCCGAGAGGTCGAGAGAGGGGATGTAGTCATGTTTGTGCATGCCTTGATTGTTAGACCATTGGCCCACGCGTCCTCGAGAGGCCGGAGCATTCTTCCCCACAGGATGGATCACCGACGTAAAGGACAGAGATTGCTCAGGCGAGGACCTCCCGATGCTACATATAAACACAGAGCATCTACGTATCCCCGACAAAATCGAAGCTATCATGGCACCCATTCATGCGTCATATCTTCGACCAAGCCACCCAGTCGGTTGCCGTTGCCTGTCTAAAACTCAGGCGACCGTCGAGCAAGGACAATCCTTTTCGAGACTGAGCATCGTTCATTCTCCTCTAGAATATCTCCTTCCGAAGACAACACCAATCTGGATGGGTAGTCGGGGAGCGGCGGAGGGCAGGACGAAGAGAGGCAATTTCTTGGGGGGGGGGGGGGACTACGACGGGGAACCGCTGTAAATAGTGGGGTCAAGCAACCGGCACACACGGCTCCCCCTGTTAAGCACACCCTCCAAATGATTGACGCCAACAAATACGGCTATTATTTCGGCCTCTGTTGCTCTGCGGCAAGAACTCACAAAAACGTGCATGATAGCTCTACTGGAACAATAGTGGGATCCACGTGGACACCATCCAAAGCGCGGAAAGAACCGATCCCTGGAAGAATACCGACAACACCATGGGGGATTATTCTTAATCAGACACGTGCCCTTCTTCTTCGTGCCTCGCCGTCTCACCTGGCCATCGCCGTAGCCCCCTGCCGCGCCTCCAACGCTCGGCCATCTCCGCGCGCCGCCGCTCCTTGCTGGCGCACCATACCCAGCTCCTCCCGCCGCCGCCGCCGCCGCCGCCGCTGCCACCGCCGCAGTGTCACCCCCGGATTCGAGGAAGAGGTTGATGGCGGCGTCGGGGCTCCAGTCCGTGGCGTCGAGGAACTGGGCGGCGGAGACGCTCGAGCCCACCTGGGTAAAGGCCATGAAGGTCTCCAGGGCCTCCCGTCTCTCCTCCGTCAGGTCCTCTCCTCCTCCGGATCCACCGGGGTGGCCGGCACCGCCACCGCCGGCGGAGCCTGCTACCGCGGCAGCAGCAGCGGCGGAGACGGAGTCAACAACGGCGGCGGTGGAATAGGAAGAGTGAGAGGACGAGGACGCCTCCATGTCTGAGTCGCCGCCGCCCCCGCTGGCACCCCCGCTGGCACCCCCGCTGGCACCCCCGCCGCCTCTCCCTGTTCTCGAGCCGACCTCGGTGCACACGGAGGAAGAGGCGTCGCCATATGATGGCCTCCCGATCATCCCGTCCAGCGCCAGGATGTCGCTCAGCCTCTGGGGCGGGGGCGCCCCCGGCAAGGGTGACCCGAACGACATGGGGGACAAATGTCGAGGGGGCGACGGCGTCGAAGACGGGCCTCCTCCCCCCCCGTCGCCGCCGCCGCCGCCGCCGGCCCCATCCCCCCCTTTGAGTCTTTCGTCGGCTGCTGATGCCGCCCCTGCCGCTGAGGCATCGCCGCTGCCACCGGTGAGTTCACCTTCTGCCAGGTCCGCGACGACCGAAGCCTGCACAAGGCCCACTACGTGATCTCGGTCAGTTTCATCCTTCTCTCCCCGATGGCAGCGGTAGCGGTGAGAGGGTATGGTGGTGATTGTAGAGAGTGGCGGCGGCGGTGAGTGGTGAAAGTTTGGGGGGGGGGGGAG